ACACACACACACACACACACACACACACACACACACACACACACACGATGTACTGTGGCACCAGACCCTAGCAGGCTTCACTTTGCTTCTTTGTTACAGATGCAGCTCCCGAAGCCTCCCTTACCCCCGAGCCCTTCCTGTCCTCTGCTGCCTGTGGGACTTGTTCTACTTCCTGTCTCTGCACCTGCAAGTGGAGGGTGGTGGGCAGCAAGCTAGGGCTGTTTTCAGAGATGGAACTGACACATTGTCCCCCAGAGGCTGCCAAGTACTATTCGGAATAAAAGCATCAGCCATGTGTTGCCCCAAACTGAGAAATTTCCCCTTTCCCATTCCTCCTCCAAACCCTCCCATGTACCCCTCCTTGCTCTCTTTCAAATTCCTGACCTCCTTTTCATTACTTGTTATTGGATGGATATATGTATATATATTATATACATATATATTCCCTTTTTTGTTGTTTTTGTTTGGTTGGTTGGGTGGTTGTTTTTTGTTTTTGTTTGTTTGTTTGTTTGTTTGTTTGTTTGTGTGAGGCAAGGTCTCTTTCTCTCTACAGTCCTTGCTATCCCAGAACTCACTCTGTAGACCAGCTTGGCCTTGAACTCACAGAGATCCACCTGCCTCTGCCTCCCAAGTGCTCAGATTAAAGGGGTGCACGCCACATCTGGCTATGTATATATCCCTAAATGTAGCCTGCTCAGTCTGTATTATGTTACTTGTATGTGTGTTTTCAGGACTATTTGGTATTGGAAGACAATTTCTACCACTTTAAGGCTTTCTTTATAAAGCTATTTTTTGTTTTGAAGTTATTGGTATTCCTATTTTTTTTATTGTAAGATTTTTTGGAAGTTTGGTATTTCCTTGTAAACACCACTTCACTCTTATTTGAGTCTATTCAACACTGAAAACACTGAAGTCGTTCCTCAGTTTGCCAAGTTTCTAGAACTATTGCTAAGAGGGAAGGGTTTGGGAGTGGGAAATGACCTGGGTGAGATCTTGATGAGACCCCCCTGTTTTTCACATTTGTTGTGTGGTAGGAGGCCATGGTGATGTACTGACCCAGGACGGAGGCGCAGAGTGAAGAAGAGGGGAAGAGATTCTGGAGACCATGATGATGGACTCCAGCACCCCATTCTGACCTTTGTAAGAACGAGACCTTCCCTCGACCCATCAAGCCTTTTTTGTTTTTGTTATTGTTTTTGTTTTTTGTTTTTCTAGACAGGGTTTCTCTGTATAGTTTTGGTGCCTGTCCTGGAGCTCGCTCTGTAGTCCAGGCTGGCCTTGAACTCACAGAGATCCGCCTGGCTCTGCCTCCTGAGTGCTGGGATTAAAGGTGTGTGCCACCACCGCCCGGCCCCAAGCTTTTTTAAAAGATGTCTTGCTGCCTGGTTTTAGTCTTTCTGAGGTGGGGGAAACAACATGGATGATCCTTTAATCAGATACCCACATAGTACCTGACAGTCTCTGGAGGGAGCTGTGTTAGTTTCTTCTCTGAAAACAGCTAGGTCTGTGTGGTAGACTGTAGGCAGAGAACAGGAGAGAAGCAATCCAAGTGTGCCACATGAATACAGCTGTCAGATCAAAAGGAAAACCAGTGGATAGCCAGCGGAGGGGGAGTTTATAGTCCGTCGTCACGAGGAAGAGAAGAGAAGGGGAAGGTGGACAAGCTGGCAGAGAGTGAGTGAGTTGGGGGAAAGATGAAGAGAGCCTTAGAAGAGCGAAGAAGTGCAGTGGCCTCTGACAACTTTGTGTAGGTGTGGTACACATGTCTTGTTTCCTTTAAGACAAGAATCAGCCTTTCCCAGTTGCTGAGACAACCAGAGAGGGTTCCTTTTAGAAAACCTGTCTGTGGGCAGATAGGGAAGTTCAGAGAAAGCCTTTCCCTGCATTTGTTGATTTTAGGACAATTCCACCTTAAGACCATCAATACATCCAAGCAGTATATTTGGGGGTGGCATGTCCCCAACTCCTTTATTTTTGCTTTTCTCAACCATGCAAATTTCCTTCTTTGGGACCTATTGACCCCACAAAGAACACTGCCTACAAAGTATTTATGTAACAAGATAGGGACTGAGAGAGGTCCAGCCTCTAAGAGGCAGCCTGGTATTCCTGTATGAAGTCAGGATAAGGGCTTAGAGATGTCCTCCCCCTATTTATCAACCTTTATTCTCTTTTAGTCTTCTTATACATCAAAACCTTGCCGGTGCTGTGGAGGGTAAGGAGACGCAGAACTCGACAGGCTAAGGATGCAGAAAACTGATGAACATTTGCCTGAGATTGGCCTGTGATGTGAGCCACACGGTAAAGAAGGGATGCTCTGGGGTCAGTGTTGAGAGATGCCAGTTTCCCGTGGGTACCATTCCTATGGGTGACTTCCTTAACTCGGCTCAGGGCCTCCTAGTCTGCACTCCTGTTTCCACTCCTGGCCCAGGGAGTGGAGGGCAGTGAGGCAGCACATACATTAATTTTGAATGGAGGAAGTGGATGTTCAGTGACCTTGTTGGAAAAACCCAGTGCTAACGCGTTACAGCAGGTGGCAGCCTTTCCCTGAGAGAGAGGAAGAGCTAATGCAAACCTGGCTTCCATTTGAACAGTTTAGTTTTGTGGTTTTTTTCTAATACAAGTACCAGGACTTGAATCGATGGATTTATTATAGAAGGAAGGGGAGCAGGAGCCTGAACTCTGGCATGGTGGGTGTGGGCATCTTTGGGTGATGGCCCCAGAGCTACTGTCTCTAAAGAGTTGGTGGCTGCCCCAGGAGAGTCTGGCCAAGTTCAGACACTACCAAGTATGGTGGGCACAAGTGTCAGCACGAGGTTCAGAATGGGGCTCTAAAGAGGAGTCCGCAGGACAACACAGAATTGCCCCCAGAGACACCCCTAGAACATGTGTGCTGGAGAGGCATTGGATGAGCCGGAGTACCCCCTTTTCATTCCACATCAGCAAACAGCCTTTTAAGCTAACCTGCCAAGTTAGAAAATATATTGGGTTATTTGGACACAAATTTGCAAAGTTCTTAGTTGGAAGTCAGACTTGGAGGATAATCTTGACACCAGAAATCTGTCTGCTCTGTCTTCACCCTGGCAGGATTATACTTACCATTTGTGATGGTTACTATTGTCAACGTGACAGGATCTAGAAGCCCCCAGCAGAGAAACTTCTGGGCATGTCTGTGAGGGACTTTCTAGTTCAGTTTAACTTAAGTGGGAAGTAACTTAAGTGGGAAGACCCTCCAACTCTCCACCTGGCAGCATCATGCCGTGGGTTTGCCTCTAAGAGTGAATAAACAGGTGAGAGCAAGCTGATCACCTGTGTATGTGATACAATGTGACTATGTGATACAATGTGACTTGTGATACAATGTGACTATAAAAACAATGTGACTGTGGATACAATGTGACTGTAGATACAATGTGACTATGGAAACAACGTGACTATGTGATACAATGTGACTATGTGATACAATGTGACTATGGATACAATGTGACTATGGAAACAATGTGACTATGGATACAATGTGACTATGTGATACAATGTGACTATGGAAACAATGTGACTATGTGATACAATGTGACTATGGATACAATGTGACTTCTCTGCTAGGATGGACTGTATCTTTAACCCAGAGGCCAAACAAACACTTCATCTCTTAAGCTGCTTGTATCGTGAATTTTGTTGCAATAATATGAAAAGTAATGAGTTTTTTATTTATCAAAAAAAATGCCACTACCTGGCACACACCTTTAATCCCAACACTCTAGAGGCAGAGGCATTGGATCTCTGAGTTTGAGGCCAGCCTGGTCTACAGAGCAAGTTCTAGGACAGCCAAGGCTACACAGAGAAACCCTGTCTTGAAAAACCAAAACCAAAAATAAACAAATAAATACAAATTTAAAAAGAAAGAAGAAAATGCTCTAGGGCTGGAGAGATGGCTCAGCATTTCAGAGAGTGTAAGAGTTTGGTCTCAGCACCCTGGCCAGTTGGCTCTCAACTGCCCCTAACTCCAGGGCTCCTCTGCCCTCTTCTGGCTTCCACGGCAAGTGTACTCATATGCGCATGCCCCAGTGCAGACACACACACACACACACACACACACACACACACACACACACAATTAAAAGAAAAAATGCTATGTAGAAAAGGATGCTATTTGAAACACTGTGAATGAGGAGACATATATACAGGAATGTCCCTATAGTTCCTGTAGATGAGTCCACTGTGCCCAAAAGAGATGTGATTAGATTAGAAAAGGAACTGAGCGGGGCTGGTGCAGATTAGTGAAATTAGTATGAATTAAAGAAAATTAAAACTAAGTTTGGTTCCTCAGTTACACCAGCCACACTTCGAAAGCTCAGTCGTCATGTTTATCTGTCACACAGCATACATAGATGACCATTTCTGACATCAAAGAAGTGCTACTGAATAGCAATGGCCTAGGACTGAAGACCAGAAGTGTTGCTGCGTTAAGAGACAGGGTTGTTTAGAACAGCCCCTCCAGGCAGTACTGATTCTTGTAGGAAAAGTTCCTGGGGATGACAGGAGACTCAACAAGGCCTCTCGCCATCCTGCCAGCAGCCGGCCTCACACAGTAGCACTGCAGACACAAGGAAGCCCTCTGCTGCGGGCGGGCGGGACACTCCGCTCTACTGCACAGCTCCCTGAGGTTTGCATGGACCTGTCAACAAGGGTACCGCTCTTTTCTCTCCACTTAGCAGATGAAGAAACTGTGGCAGAGAAGGGCTTTGGTGATACACCCACGGCTACTCGGCTTACAAGGAACAGCCGAAATACAAACCTACGTTGTTCCGGGCTATCTGTGATAGAGAGAATGCTTGCTGCATGTGAGAGAAATTTGCTTTTGACTCCTTTCTCTAAGGCAGGGCCAACTCTTAGGTTTTCTGACACACACCATGTTTCGGGCTTCCTACCAATACTGTAGAGTAATGACAATTTTCCTCCAAGGTAGATTGTGAGTCACTTCCTGCCCCCAGAGCAGACTGCTGTCTTCACTGCCCAGGGGAAGTTGGTTTCTCAGAAGTTCACCTTTTAGAGAAACAAGTCTTTGGGGGTGAAAATTCCAAAGTAAAATGTTCTTAGAAAGAAAATGAAGACAAGATGTATGTGGGAAAATGCCTTTTCTCTAGGAAGTAAAATTATGAGAAATGATTTTCCTGTTACTCTTTGTTTTGAAACTTTTATAAGAATGAAAACAAAACAAAAACAAAAAACCTCAAAGCCAGACACTGTATCATCATAAAAATTGTGAATTGTTTATCACTGGACTTCTGACAATAGAGTAAATGCTTTAAATTGAATACTAAATACTTCAGCCAACTGCAAGGAGCTATAGAAGTCAATTGTAAGGTCTAAAAAGGACATTAATCAGGGCTGGGGATTTAGCTCAGTGGCAGAGCGCTTGGGTTCAGTCCTCAGCTCTGAAAAAAAAGGGACATTAATCAGGGCTGGGTAGATGGTGGCTGAAGTGCTCACCACACAAGTGTGAGGACCCAAGTTCTGATCCTCAGCACCCCACAAGAAAAACTCCCAGAGTGGTGGCGCTCTGACCAGCCAGTGGAGACAAAGCAATGATCTCCAGGTCCAATGAACACCCAGATCAAAAACGAAGGCAGAGAAGCAATTGAGGAAGACATCCTGACATCAATACACACACACACACACACACACACACACACACACACACACACACACACAGAGACACCGAACAATGTCTGGGAACTCAGATGTGAACTCTGCTGTTTTGTGACCATGGTCTTGTGTAATGTCATATACTTCAAAGATAAAAGACGATGAGAAAGTCTGTGAATCACACTATTATCATTGGCATGATGCAACCTCTAAACACAAACCTGGCATGGAGATAAAGAGGGGGGCGCCTCTGGAGCTGTGACACGTCTATTCTTTCAAGATAAGACTGATCCTCAGGGTACTGCACACTGGACAGCATGGAGAACGCTCAGCCATTGCCTGGTCGTCTTCTCCTGTGAAACCCAAAAATCAAAATTCTAAGTTAATCAAAACTGTGATAGTCTGTGTGTCTTCATAGGAAGGCATGGATTTCAAAGTTGATATATTTTTATTTTATGTTTGAGAGGAGCCTCACTATTTGGTTAGGCTGGGCTCCAACTCGCCATCCTCTGGCCTCAGCCTCTAGAGCGCTGGGATTACAGGCACTGCCACACCTGGCTTTTTTGAAGTTTGTATACATTTAAAGATAGTCCTACATAATTAAATTTGGTGTACTTTTTAAACATTTCTTGATATTCTTCTAGTTAAATCCTTAGGTGAGTTCACTATAGCCAAACATTCTCAAATATCTAAGTACCCTGGGTACCGCTCATAGAACCATTCACTTTAATGTGCAGAGAAGGGATTTTAAGTACCCACAGCTCCCTCTGAGGAAGCAGCAAGAGACTGGAGGCCCAAAGATCAGGCTCCACCCCCAGTCCCCAGCCCCGCCTCTTAGACTTCTGTTTAAAACCACGCTTCCTGTTTGGAGTCCTTGAGGCTAGGCTGCTGTAGTCTTACAGCTGAGAAAAACAACGGACACATGACTTCCGGTAGCCAGGAGGTCAGGAAGAGCGAACAGGGCAGCGGCCACACACCGCAGGGGTGTGAGGAGTGGGTCAAACAGGCCTTCTGAGAAACAAGGCCGTCAGCTTTGCCCACACCCACCTCTGCTGCCAGAGGACAGGCCTGGCAGCCTCAAAAAGGAAGATGGAATCAGACCGGCCCCTTGTGCTTCTTGTTTGGCTGAGACCAACTTGAAACAAACAAATCCTAGATCAGTTCACTTAAAAATGAGAAGAAAACACCCACCTTGAGGCCATGTATTCTCCCACAGGCAAGTTCTGTCGCCGGACAGTACCAAATAACACACCTGTACCAACTAATGGTCTTCCCCGATGCCTTGGAGTTACCAGCTTGTCTTCTGTATTCTTTTTTTCTCATAGAGAATATTATTTTAAATAACTGGTCTTTTTGCTTGATGGAAATAACCAAGCTAGGTTTGCTGATGATATGAAATTGCACATCCCCCCACCACACACACACCCTTTCAGGTCTAATTTGATGAATGTAGCTTTACAAGGGCATCCATTTGATCCTGTATTCGCATTCTTTGGCATCCCGTGGATGTGGGCTTTGCTCAAGTGTCTCTGAAACTTAGAAGGACTAGCCTTGGTTCCCACTCTGACACCTACTTACATAGATTGCCTCGAAGAGTAGCCACCCCATCTCACCCACAGGATGGATAAACTTCAAAAGAAAGAGGTGGAGCTAGATCTCTGTTCCTCCAACTCTTTTGGACGCTTGAGTGCAAGGAAGACTTCATTCTCTCTGGGGATCCCAGCATGTGACCGCCCACGCCTGGGCTTTTCCTGTCCTATTTCATTCTTTTCCTCCCTCATCATCAGCATTAGTGAAGAGCATGGCAAGACTGACGCCACAGCCAGCGTTCTACTGTATCTAAATACACTAAGTACAGAATCTTTCCCTGAATGTGTGTGTGTGTTCGTGTGTATGTGTGCACACACATATGGACGTTTATACATGTGGAGGCCAGAGGACAACTTGAGGGGCCCTTCTCCTTGTTCTGGGGACAGAGTCTCCCCCTTGGGACCTGGGGCTCACCTAATAG